GGAGGATGTTACCTTAAACGGAGCAATGGAGGCTGCAGACGTGGTTAGACAGGGAGGCGAGCCTGGATTATGGGGTGGGCCCAGGGCCATCCCAGGGTCTGTCTAAGAGGGAGGCAGGAGGTGAGAGAGGAAGACAGGGGCTCAGAGCAGTAAGACGGCTGCTGGGGTGGGAGGGCAGCACCAGATTTGCCACGAGGATCTCACAGCCGGGTTCCAGGCGCCACGGCGGTACACACCCGTGCCCCCACCTGCTGGGCGGGCGGGGCTCCTCTGGGGCTCTGCAGCGGGGAGAGGGGCAGCCCGGCCCCAGCCCACCATCTGACACTCCTGCTGTCGGGGCTCTGGGGCCTGTTCCCTGCTGGGCTGCTTCTCCAGGTGGACCCTGGGCTGATGGCAGCAGAGGCCAGAGGACCCTGGGGTGGGAACCGGGCCGTGAACGAGCAAGTGAGACGCACCTGGCTGCCATGTTAAGTCCCAGACGGCTTCTTCAGTAACGTGTTGGAGAGCACTGGCTTAGCAGCCTGGTGGCCTAGGTCGGAATCCTGTCCCTGTCCCTTGGACAATTGTCTAACCTCCCTGAGCCTCAGTTGACCCCTGGGCAGTGGGCTCCCTGAGGATCACCCAGCGTGACGACACCATGCCGTGTATCCACAGCCTGTCTGTCCACGGAACCCGTGTTTCACAGGACCTCTCATAGGCGGAGCGTTTTCATAAAATGCAAAACGCTGGTCCCGCCGGCCCCTCCTCATCCGCCGCAGGGCTGCCGGTGGGTGGGAGGCATTTCCCTTTCATCCGTCAGAGCTCGCAGCCTGGGAGATGGGAGTGTCACATCCCGGGTGATGGGTTGGCCAGCAGGATTGGAAAAACCTGGCTCTCACTCTGGAAGGTTGGGCAGGGGCTTCACTTTCTAGCTGTGTGGCTCTGGGCAAGCCACTTACCCTGCCTTGGCCCCAATTTCCTCATTGACTTAAGAGGAGGATTAAAGGATGCTTAGAAAATGCCCTGGGCGCTGCAGGTCCGCATGAGTCTAAGCTCCCCCAACTTCAGGGGCGGGGCTGGACTGGCTACTGTTGATGATTCTCATGCCCATGGCCAATTGGAGATGGTGAATCCTGGGGTGGTTTAGAAGTTACTTTCGTCCCCTGGGGGAATGTGAGGTCTGGAACCACAGCAGCTGCTTTGTCACCAGCAGGCAGAACTCATTGTGGCTGGACAGTCTCCATGTGGAAGCTGAGAAAGCTTAGTCTGTGGGCAGCCAAGCAGAGATGGAGGGACAACAGGTCTCTCGCCACATTGTTTGAGCCACTGGATGGGCATTACCCAAACTCCACTTGTTTGCAAGAGCCAACAAACACCCTGAAGTGAAAGTATTGCTTTTTCGTTTGGATTGAAAAGTACAACAGATCTGAAATACTCCATCCGCAGTTTTAAACATACAGTCGCCCCTTGGTATCCATGGGGGATTGGTTCAGGACCCACTGCAGACACCAAAATCCCCGTATGCTCAAGTCCCTGATATAAAATGGTGTGGTATTTCCATATAAGCCATGCACATCCTCCCATATACTTTAAATCATCTCTAGATTACTTAAAATACCAATACAAGATAAATGCCATGTAAATAACTGTTACGCCGTATAGGGAATAATAAGGAGAAAAAGTCTATACATGTGCAGTACAGATGCAATCATGCATTTTTGCCCCCAAATACTTTCGATCCTCAGAATGCACAGGTGTGGAGCATTGACTATATTTTTAAAAATCTTCTTGGTTTCATGTTTTCCACTTGAAACTTCATTGCTACACTCACCCAGCCTCCCATGCCGGGCCAGACCTCACAATTGTCCCTTAAATGAAGGGTGTTTTTCTTTCCTTCCCTACAGAAAGTCCTTCTGTGTTTGGATAATTCTGGAAAGAAACACTCATACCCTAGTCCTGAAGTAGATACCTGATTTTTGCTAGAGCAGCATCCCTTTCCCTCTTCTGATAACAGAACCACGCTTTCTCGGGTAGCACACCCCACATGGATGACGTCACCTCCTCCCACCTGGGGGAGCACATCTGATCCCAAGTAACCAATTGGAACACTTCACTTTCCCTGATTGGTTCAAGGATTGGCATGTGACCTAAGCACAGCCAATCAGAATCCTCCTTGGGACATTCTACCAGCAGTATTTGGCTTGGAGTTGCTAAACGGGCAGATCATAAGCCCTGGGTGGCTGGGGCCACATTGGGGAGATTTTTTTCAGAGAGATGGAGAGAAAGAAGCCTGAGGATAAGGGTTGAGCCCCCTGGATCCAGCCATTCATGAACCTAAGTATCCCTTGATTTCCCAGTTGCATGAGCAAATAAATCTCCCTTTTTGTTTAAGCCTGGGTGGGCTGGGTGTCTGTCACTTAAAGCTGAAATGCTCCTAAGTTACTCCCTAGACTCTTCTTCCTGCTCTAAGCCTCCAGTTTTGGCTGTCTGCTAAAGTCCACAAGTGAGGAGTCCTGTCTGGGCTCACCCGGAGAGGAGGGGCACAGCTGGGATGAGAACATAGAATTGCATTTGTGAGCAGGTCGGTGGTTGGGAAAATCATTTCCAACTTTGAGCAAATCCCTCCTCCCCCATCCAACCCTGCGAGCTGCAAGTTCGTTTGCACACACCACCACAGGAGGGGGCGTGTGGGAGGGCGGGCTGGTGAGAGCCAGGGCTGGGGGATGGTGGGACTTAATCATTCTCTGCTTTTAATGGTAGCTAGTTAATTTCCTTCCCAAGGAGACCAGCATTGACCTTCACCTCCAGCCCCCATTAACTGCCAGGGACGCCTTGTCAGCGTATTTATGACAAATTAATTACACAGGGAAAATCTTGCTGGGAAAATGACTGTTCTGGTTTGGGCTGGAGCTGGGAGCTGCCTTTCGATTCCCCACTGACATGGGGCCTGGTTAACCACAGACCTTGGTCAAACTTTGAGGCAAGCAACTGATTTGCAGCTGACACAGGAGGAAGGCAGGCCCAGTGAGCCAAACCCAATCTCAAACCCCTTAGACCTGGTGACTCAAAAGAATATCCTATGGGAAAATGATTTGGGGACCCCAGATCAGCATGGTGGTCAAGATAACTTTGCTCCCGGTAGTGCTGGGCAATCCCGGCCCCTGGGACAAGGCTCCCCATGACGAATCCAATGACTGTACCGTGTTGCATGGGCCTGTCCAGCTCTCCCTGTGGGCGGTGCTTGTACAGCGCTGGGCGTCCAGTCCCAACTCCCAACCTGTGCTCTGGCCCCCGCTTCCCTCTCCAGCCACCGCCCCCACCTCTTTTCTTTGCACTGGGCCCTCCAGTGACACGGACACTGCTGTGGTTCTCTGAGCGACTCATCTTGTCCTGATCTTCACGCCTCTGCCCTGGCTGTGCCCCTACCTAGAGCACCATTCCCACCCCACCCGACCTCCCTCTCCCTGGTCTTGGGGGACGAGCTGCGCTGGGGAATGCAAACGCCAGGGCGCTGGCTTCAGTGCTGAGGGGACTTAGCTCTTCCAACGGACGCGTGCACGGATAGGTCCCGCGTCAGCAGTGACTGAAGCCGGGGTTCCAACACTGTCTTAGGACTCCCCTCTAAGGGACAAGGTGTCAGTTCTGTGTGCTGGTCTAGGTGACCAGTGTGTCAATGCCTCCGCCCTCGAGATCCTCCCAGTCGCGCTGGGAGAGGGGATATGAATTTGCGTGACGACCTTTATTACTCAGGCCCAGCGATGAGCCAGCCCCTCTCCACCAAGGTGGACGTTAGCCCCAGGGCACAGGGTCCATGGAGAGACTCGGCGAGGGTGAGAAAGGCGCATCTGAGGAGTAGGGGTGGCATTGGGAGGGCCAGCGACACAGTGCCTGTGTGTGTGCACGTGTGCACATGTGTGTGCGTGTGTGCACGTGCGCAGGGAGCAGGCAGTCCTTGTTCCACGATCGCCACCACCTTCCTCCATCCTTCTCCATTTTCCTCCCATCATCCCTACCCGAGTGTGCCTTGGTCTCCCCCTCGCCCCCTCCTGGAAATATCTTGGAGCCCACACCCCTTCTGGGGGACTCAGCCCAGGCGACATGGCCGGTCTGGAGCAAGTGCTCCCTGCTGATTGGCCAGGAGAGGTCACCTGACCCGTGGGCCGGCCAGTGACTTCCACCAGGGCCTGGAGGTGGGGGAGGAATTTGCTCTTGGGAAGTGCAGCTAAGAAATCCCTAGAGAGAACAGGCTGAGGAGAGAAGATTCTAGAAAGGTCAGGTGGTAAAGAGGTCAGGTGGCCCTGATGGGCCTTGGGGAAGTCAGGTCTTGAGGGAGGAGAGGAGAGCGGGCAGAGTCTTCGTCGGCCGAGGCTGCTGTAACGAGATGCCTCACACCTGGTGCCTTACAAACAGCAGGACTGTCTTGCTCACAGTTTTGGAGGCTGCGAAGGCCAAGATCAAGGTGCCAGCAGAGTCGATGCTTGGCGACAGCTTGGTCCCAGCTTCAAAGAAGGCGCCTTGCTGCTGTGTCCTCACAGGGTGGCAGGGCAAAGGGGCTAGCCAGCTCCCCGGAGCCCTTTCGTAAGGGCACTAACCCCATTCAGGAGGGCTCTGCCTGCCTGACTTCATCACCTCCTAAATCGCCTCCGACTCTTAATGTCATCGCACCAGGGATAAGTTTCAGTGTGAAATTTGCAGGTACACAAACATTCAAACCACAGCAGGGGCCACAGAGGAAGGCAATTCGGCAGGGACCCGGGCCCAGGAAGGAGAGAAAGGCGGCTCCTACCTGGCCCCCCCCCCCAACCCAACAAAGGGTCCCCAAAACCCCCCCCCGGCCGGCCGGGCCCGGGCAACAAAAAGCCCGGCCCGAACCCAACCCCAAAAAAGCCCAAGCCCGAAAACCAACCCCGCCGGCAAAAGGTAAAAAACCAACACGCCAAAAAAGTGGCCAAAAACAAAAAACAACAAGCCAAAGGCGCCCGGGCCTCGCCTCGGCCTGACCGAGTCCGGACCGAGGCTGTCTGCTGTAAACCCCATCTTCTCACTGGCTCCCCCAGCCTGGGGTTCCTTGCACCCCACAACTGTGTTCCGCAGTTTCAGGATCTCTGTTTCCAAGGGTCACAGCTTCCAGCCGTGGGGTGAGCATTGAGGTGATGCCAGGGGCAGCCTGACCCGCGTCTCGAGGGAAACCGCTTCTGGATTGTGAGGCTTCGGGAGCAGGGTCTGCGGGAAGAGATGGCGTAGGGTCAGCTCCATGGGCACGTGGCCTGGGCCTTCCCAGGGGGACCTGCCCTCCGAAGGACCCGAGCCCAGTTTAATGCTTTGCTGTTGTCTTAAAATTCTGGCTGAGTCTTGAGCGGGGAGCCCTGGGTCTCTGGCCAGTCCTGTGCAGGTTCCACCGCCGTGACATGGAGGAGCCCCCGACCCAGGGCTCCCCAGTGCCCCCAGGACCCAAAAGATGGCCCAGCTCTGTCTAGCGCTGTCTCCAATAGCCAACTCCCCACACACGACACAACACGACGAACACAACACGGCACCACACCCCCAGCCACGCCTCTCAGGATAAGGTCCTGCCGGACACCCGGGGAGGGAGCTGCGGGCACTCCTCACGCTATTGCACCCCGCCCCTCGCGTCTCCCTCTGCTGCCCTTCGCAGACACCGCGTGTTTCACAAATCGAAGGTTCGCGGCGGCCCTGCCTCGAGCAAGTTGTCAGCACCATTTCTCCAAGAGCACGTGCTCCTTTCATGTCTCTGTGTCACATTTTGGCAATTGTCACAATATATCCGTTTTGGTGACCTGTGATCAGTGATCTTTGATCTCACTATTGTCATCGTTTTGCGGTGCCATGAGCCATGCCCGTAGAAGGCAGCAAACTTAGCCAGCAACTGTTGTGTGTGTCCTGACTGCTCCAGCGACAGCCGCTCCCCCATCTGCCTCCCTCTCCTCGGGCCTCCCCATTCCCTGAGATGCAGAATCATCCAAATTAGGCCAGTTAATAACCCCGCAATGGCCTCTACATGTTCGAGTGAAAGGAAGAGTCGCACAGCTCTTACTTTAAATCAAAAGCTAGAAACGATTACACTTGGTGAGGGACGCATGTCGAAAGCCGAGACAGGCCGAAAGCCAGGCCTCCGGCACCAAACGGTTAGCTAAGCTGTGAATGCACAGGAAAAATTCTTGAAGGAAATTAAAAGTGCTACTCAGTGAACACAAGAATGATAGGAAAGCAAAACAGCCTCTTGCCGATGTGGAGAAAGTTGGAGTGGTCTGGGTAGACGATCAAACCAGCCACATCACTCCCTTAAGCCAAAGCCTAATCCAGAGCAAGGCCCGGACTCTCTTCAATTCTGTGAAGGCTGAGAGAGGTGAGGAAGCTGCAGAAGAAAAGTGTGAAGCCAGAAGAGGTTGGTTCGTGAGGTTTAAGGAAAGAAACCGTCTCCATAACCTGAAAGTGCAAGGTGACGCAGCAAGTGCTGATGTAAAAGCTGCAGCGCGTTTTCCAGAAGATCTAGTGACATAATTGATGAAAGTGGCCACACCAATCAACAGTTTTCCATGTAAGCACAACAGCCTTCTGTTGGGAGAAGATGCCATCTAGAACTTTCATAGTGAGAGAGGAGAAGTCAGTGCCTGGCTTCAAAGCTTTAAAGGACGGGTGATTCTCTTATTAGGTGCTAATGCAGCTGGTGGCTTTAAGTTAACGCCAAAGTTCATTTACCATTCTGAAAATCCCAGGGCCCTTAAGAATTATGCTAAATCTACTCTGCCTGTGCTCTATAAATGGAATAGCAAGGCCTGGATGACAGCACGTCTTTTTACAGCATGCTTTATTGAATATTTTGAGACCACTATTGAGACCTGCTGCCCAGAAGAAAAGATTCCTTTCAAAAGATTACTGCTCATTGACAATGCACCTAGTTACCCAAGAGCTTTGACGGAGATGTACAAGGAGATAAATGCCGTTTTCGTGCCTGCTAACTCAACAGCCATTCTGCAGCCATGGATCAAAGAGTAATTTCAACTTTCAAGTGTTATTATTTCAGAAATACATTTCATAAGGCCTTAGCTGCTATAGCTGCCATAGGTAGTGATTTCTCTGATGGAACTGGGCAAAGTAAATTGAATACCTTCTGGAAAGGATTCACCATTCTAGATGCCATTAAGAACATAGAACATTTGTGATTCACGGGAGGAAATATCAACATTACAGGAGTTTGGAAGAAGTTGGTTCTAACCCTCATGGATGACTTCAAGGGGTTCAAGACTTCAGTGGAGGAAGTCTCTGCAGGTGTGGTGGAAACAGCAAGAGAACTAGAGTTAGAAGCGGAGCCTGAAGATGCGACTATATTGTTGCAACCTCATAATAAAACTTGAACAGATTAGAAGTTGCTTCTTATGGACGAGCAGAGAAGGTAGCGTTTTGAGATCAAATCCACTCTTGGTGAAAAGGCTGTGAACGTTGTTGAAAGGACAACAAAGCATTTAGAATATCACATCGACTTACTCAATAAAGCCCCTGCGGAGTTTGAGAACACTGACTCCAATTTCGAAAGAAGTTTACTGTGGGTAAAATGCTATCAAGCATCATCACATGCTACAGAGAAATCTGTGTGTTTGTGAAAGGAAGAGCCAACTGATGTGGCAAACTCCATTGTTGTCTTATTTTAAGAAATTGTCACAGCCACCCCAACTTTTAGCAACCACTGCTCTGCTCAGTCAGCAGCCGTCGGCATCCAGGCAAGACCCTTCAGTAGCCAAAAGATATGACTCTGTGAAGGCTCAGATGATTAACATTTTTTAACAATAAAGTATTTTTAAATTAAGGTATGTACTTTTTTTTTTAGACATAATGCTATTGCACCCTTAATAGACTATAGACTATGTAAAAGCTGCAGCAAGTTTTCCAGAAGATCTAGTGACATAATTGATGAAAGTGGCCACACCAACCAACAGTTTTCCATGTAGACACAACAGCCTTCTGTTGGGAGAAGATGCCATCTAGAACTTTCATAGCTAGAGAGGAGAAGTCAGTGCCTGGCTTCAAAGCTTTAAAGGATGGGCTGCTCTCTTAGTAGGTCTTCCCCTGAGTCTGAGCTGGACTCAGACGGCCCTGACACGGGCGACATTTCCCAGCCCCCTCGTGGCCAGGTGCAGGCCTTGGGCGCGGCACCGCAGCGGTGTATGTGCTTGGTCAAAGGCAACGCTGACCTTCCGAGTCCGCTCTTCCCCATCCTTGCTGGTGCCTAGTCCAACCCCACAGACAGGCACAGAGCGCTAGGACAGCTGAGCACCGAGGTAGAAGGAACCCTGTCCTGGGTGACTTCGAGGGGCAGCCCAGACTGCTCCCCGTGCGCAGACGGGGGAGCCACTGTGTTTGCCGTCCCGCTGCCGCAGCCGGTTAGCCTGTTCCCTGAGGTAGAGCCCGGCCCTGTGGCATCCCAGCACCTCTCTCAGGGCCTAAAATAATGATGATGATGATAATGATCCTTCCGCTGCCTGAATGCACTCGGGGCTGGCGCAGTGCCGCGCACTTTGCCTGCGTGTTTTATGCAATCCCAGCGACAACTGGAGGAGGTGCTGCAGGCTGTTCTCACCAGGCCCGTTTTACAGATAAAGAAGCAGACTCGAGAGTTAAATGACTTAAGTCCCTCCGCTAGCAGGACGTGAGCCCCAGTGCGCTAACTCCAGAGCCCCTGCTCTTTGCCACGGCCCCGTATCAACACCTGACTCCGGGAAACAGGCGGCGAGGGAGTGGCTGTGAATGAATGCATGAACGAATGGCGAGGGGAGAGAGAACACACAGGCCCGCCGTGCCCAGGCTCACCTGCGTCCTCCTCCGGCTGCCCATCTCCAGCCCCTGCGACTCCCCCTGGCGCTGGGCGGACAGTCATTCTGTTGCTGTTGCCGACGGCGGCGTCCTCGAGGAAGCACGACCTGATGTGGACTCTCTGGGCCGCGTCCCCCTCGGGGTGAGAGCCTGGTGTGGGCATTCGCACTTCAAATGAAGCTCCCGGGCCGTCGGCGGTGGCAGAGACTGTGGGTCACAGAGAGACAGGTGTGGCAGTGGGATGATGGCCCTGAGCCCTGCCTGGCCTTCAGGTCCCCCATGGCCGGTTCGTCCCCACACCTCCCTCCCCGGCCCGCACCTACTCAGCTGGCAGCCTTGGCCTGGCCACCGCACTGCCACCCCACTGCCACCCCACTGCCACGCCGTTCACCCGCCTGGGGTGCCGTCGGTCTCTGCAGGCAGGGTCTGCCCCCGGAGTCCAGCCCAGCTGACCCGGCCATCAGTGTCCCTCGGTCACTCCCTTCTCTACGCGCCGGAACACGGCCTCCACCCCTGGTGAAACCCTCACGGGCCCAGCCCTGCCGTGGGCTCCTTCCTCTCCCACCCACACTTCCTGCGGGACACGTCCATGCTCGGTTTCACCTCCCCCGCCCAGCTCCTCCTGCCCCTCCCTCCCAGGAGCCGTCCCCATCCCGCACGAGCCCTTGCTGCTGAACCCACAGGGGCCTCCCCACGCTCACTGGCCTCCCCCCTCTCTGGAGACTCTTCTCGGAGGGCCCCTGCCTCCTCCTTCCCCTCCAGCCTCTCTGCCCACCTCCCTCCGCCCACCTCTGGGTTCCCAGTGCAGGGAAGGCCTCCGCCAACGCCTTTGGTCACTGTGCGGCCACAGCACTTGGTAGAGCACCTGTTCTCCTTAAGCACCTTTCCAGTCTCGAGCCATCGCCTCTCTCCTGCGTCAGAGGGCCAGCCTCTGCTTCCCGGGGGAGGCCTGCCCACTTTACAGATGAGGAAACTGAGGTTTCCTGGGGTGGGGATCCACAGTGCTAGCTGCAAAAGCCACACCTGTTCTAGTCTGTGGTCCAGCCTCCCGGTGGAAGGAAAGGAATTTCCCATCATGCCCCTCTCCCCTCAGACTCTGCACCAGTTCCTCCCAGCAAGGAGCAGAATGCAGCAGGGTGGGGGTCTGGCCACTGGGTCCCAGTTACCTGGGGGGCTGCCTGAGGGGATGTGGCCGGAGCCTTCGGCTGGGGTGCTGTGGACACTCAGCTCATTGTCGTGTCCCAGCTGCACCCGTCTGAGCACGGATCGCTCCATGTGGATGTCCTGGGGCCCCCAGACACTGGGAGCTGAGGAGTCACCTGGCGCCGTTGGAGGGAGGTATCGGGGAGCCGTGGAACCTGGCAGGGGAACACAGCACGACCTTGCTGGGGGTGACTCTAGGCTTCCTTCTCCACCCTCTGACCCCCACCCCCATCCTTCACCAATACACGCACGCGCACACATGCACACGCACACACACGCACACACACACACAAAGTCCTGCCTGGACAGAGGGGACAGGCCTCTGGATCCCTCCTAGACACCGTCAGACCGGGAGACAATCATTTCAGGCCCTGAAGGGGGAGCAGGAGGACCCAGCAAACACCTCGTCTTGGGGTCCCCAGTTTGTCACGACTGTGCTGGTGCCAGGGTGTTGCCAGGACACTTGCAGACCCAAACAATGAGCACATGGCTCTGATTCCCAGTCATTCTCGGTCCTTCTGACCTCAGCGAGAGAAAGTCCCCTTTGGGGCTAAGACATTTTAATGCTTTCCAACACCAAGGCTCAGAGCCTCCTACAGTGTTTTATTTTCCCAGCATTTATTTTTATGGTGATCTTCATAGTTTTCAACTTAAGGTAATGCTATAAAAATTTAAAAAAAATAAATTTGAGTAGGAAAAAAGGTGAACCATTTAATAGCATTAATTAAATAATTAGACATGGGAGTGGCCCAAACTGGGAAGGGGAGGCTGAGAGGATTAAAGTTGGGGAAACGATGGTCTGGATTCTAGAGCGAAGTTCTTTATTTCGCAGTTGGGGAAACTGAGGCCCCGAGTGGGGAAAGGCTCTCCCAATGTTATGGAAGTGACCCAACATTTGGGCTGATGCTGTCACTCATGGGTGACATGGCGAGACTGATAGGTGGCCTGTCCCCTTTTGCCAGAGGGACTGGCATGGGGGGAGTGCCCAGTGTGCAGCACTGTATTTCATCAGAACTAGGGGGCCACTGATGGTAAGACGCACCCCAATTTCCAACCTGTTGACTTGTGGACGAAAGTAATGCATCTCAGAACAAATGAAATACTGCAATAACCGCCTTGTGACAGTCTGCTGAGGGAGAGTGAATTGAGTTATTTCTCATGGAAAAATATCAGAACCCGTTGAAAATGAGGCCAAAGGATCGGAGTGAAGGGGAAGCAGGAGAGGTTTGATCCAGGCTCCCTCATTCTCAGGAAGGCCATGAAGGAGGATCTGGGGGGTTGGAAGGTGGTCCTTTCTCCTTGGAGGTGGACTCCCCCAGTCCCCTCCCTCACCCAGGTGGAGTGGGTGCCCCCTCAGGGTCCCTTTTCCTGAGTGTCTCTGACAACTTACCGCTTTCCCCAGGGGTTATCGCTCTCATCATGACGTTCCCATGTCCGATCTGAGTGCTGTGGGAGTTCTCAATGGAAATTTTGCTGTTCGTTCCGTGCTGGTGGATCGTGATGACTGGATTTTGCTGGTTCATAACCGCAGTGCACTGATTTCTCCCTCCAGAATCTACTGCAATGGGCCGATCTCTTCTTCCAGAATCTTCTGCAAATTAATATTCCATTCTATCCCTTTGCACCTCTCTGGGGGTCAGGGGTTCCAGATACCAGTCGGCAGCACCAAGTTCTCCCGGGGAGCTTGTTAAAACACACATCCAAGGTGCTCTCCCGGGGGTCCGGAGGCAGTGGGTCCAAGGTGGGACCCAAGACCCGGCCTGTTTAACAGACACACCACAGGTATCCCGGATGGAGCCTTGCTTGGAAACGGCCACGGCAAGTAACCTGCCTGTGTGTCCTCCTCCGCCCCGTGGCCAGGCCACCATGAGTGCTTGCTGGGGGCCTGCAGGGGCCCCACACCACTCTCCCCGTCTTCTGTCCCTCCCCCTGGGGGGCAGCCACAGCCCTGACCAAGGGGCACAGGCGCCCCTTCTCCCTTGAGCAATGGCCTGATGAGCTGTCGGGGGCTCACAAGACATTTGTAAGGATTTGGATTTGTCACCAGTCTTTAAAATCTGGCTGCTGTCACGTTATTACTTCCTCACAGCGGCCGTACGATGCCGAGACCCCCGGCACCGTGAGGGGAGGGTCTGTCCCATGTGGGCCGAGACGGGCCCCTGCCCGGACTCCCCCGGCGTGGACCCTGTCCTCCTTAAAAAAATCTTTTAAATGACATTTTGTGACCATGTTAGCACACAGACAAATATAATCCAGGCTGGATTTGTTTCGAGATATTCACCATATTTATAATATCCGCTTCTTCTTCTGATTTTAAAAGAAATAAAAATTAAAGCATTTTTGTGGCCCCCTAAGAGTGCCATGGGCTCGGGGCCTGTGCCTGCTGCCCTCACGGATGAGCTGTCCCTGGGGCTCCACCCGTCGGGGTCTGAGCCCAGCCTGGCCTTCTCTTCTGCCCACTGCCAAACCCCAAGTTAGGCAAAGTGCTCGCACTCGGACTGAGCCCCTGCACGCCGGGGCCGAGGAAACGCGGAGCAGGCGCCCCCTCCCGGACCCTCGCCTTCTGCCGTCCCTGGTTAATCCCGCCACGCCCCTCCCTCCCGGAACCCCCTCCAGTGAACGGTCAGCAGGACCGCCCCACCGCAAGCTTCTGGTAGGTTCTCACGAGGTGGAGCAGGCTTAGCGGAGCGCCCAGCAAGGACCGAGAGTGCGGTGCGAATGGTTTCTCCGCAGCCCGGCCGCGCTGCCCCTGCCCAGGTGCAGGCAGCAGGGAAGGGCCTACCTGGCCGATAGATTGCCCACGCTTTCAGCCTCTCGTCAAAGTCCAGAAGGTGCTTGCCCTTCATCTTGTACAGGTCTGGGTTGACGTCTTTTGCCGTCCTCAGGCCCAGGGCCTGGGCGATGACCAGGGCATTGTGGGGCCCCTTGTCTTCCAGGAACCTGTAGATCTCCTCCTCTGGAGGGCAGGATGGTCAGGTGGTTAAGGAGGACCCAGAGCTTGAATCTGCCCCGCCACGGACAGCCGACAAGCTCTGTGACCTTGGACAGCTCCCCAGCCCCTCCAGGCTCAGTTTCCTCCTCTCAAAAATGGGCGTAATGATAATGGGGGTAACAGCGGCGCTCTGCAGAGGTGGTTCTGAGGACCAGGGAGGTGCACGCATGCTCTGCACGTGCCTGGCACGCAGCAGGTGCCCCGCGAGGGTCAACTATTGAGCGGAGAAATCATTTCTCAGCCATTTAGATTCCTCCACTGCGAGGACGGAGTCTTGCCTCTGAACACTGTGCGGGAGCCCCTGGGTAGGTGGGACGGGGCCCCTGACCACTCGTACTGTCCTGTACCCTCGAGGAGGGCTGTGGGTTGCGGGGAAGGGCTCCCAGGCGCTAGGAGCCAAACGGAATGAGGATGCTTACGTCGGTCACTGAGCTGAGGGCCAGGCTTCTTTGGAATTCCAGCTGCGTCTTCTGGGGGCCTCTCGGCTGGAGAAAGAAAGGCGGGTCAGAGGGTGGGGGAACAGGAGATGGCCCCCGGCCTCTGCCGGGCAGAGGTGGGCCTCGGGGCAGACTCCAGAGTTAAACACGGGCTCTAATCCCACCCTGCTCCGTCCAGCTGTGGGGCTTCCTGCTAATTAACTTCTTTGGAGCTCAATTGTCTTTTCTGTAGAAAGAGGGGAAGACAGTACCCACCTGCCTCCCGGGCTTGTGTGAGGGTCAGGTGAGCCCTGGGGCTCAGCACCCAGCCCCCCTTAAGTACTGGGTAAGTGTCAGCTCTTTTCCTCCGTGGGCTCTAAAGCTAGAAGAGGGGCCTAGTGGGACACCAAGTGCGTTCCATTGTTATCATCATCATCATTTTCTGTTATTAATGTTTGCTGAGCACCTACTACGTGCCGTGTGCGCTGGGCTGAGCCCTGTGCAGCTAATCCTCTCAGCAAGCCCTGCAAAGTAGCCATATCGTCATCCCCATTAGCCAGAGAAAGAAACCAAGCTCCAGTGAGGAGACATCCTGCGTCCCCAAGTGGCAGAGCCCGTATTTGAACCCAAGCTCAAGTCTGGGCTTGTCCATGGCCAGGATGGCTCCCACTGGCTCAGACCTACCCTGGGATGGCAGGTCACTGTGGCTGGGCAGGGCCAGCTGCGCAAGGGCCGCGTCGCCAGGCCCACCCTCGTCCAGGCGCCACATGGCAGGGCCTGCGAGGGAGACTTTCGACTCGTTCTTCATTCGGTAGAGGACTTGGTTGAGCTCCTTCTTGGGCACTTGGCATTTCTTCGCCAGCTGGGCGGTCTTCACAGGGGCCCCGGCTTCCCTTAGCTCCTGCAGGATCTTCTGTTCAAGGCGGCCTGACAGAGGGAGAGGGGCAGAGAGAGGAACTGAGCCCCCCTGGGGCCCCCAAGGTTGAGCCTGGGCTGGAGGCTCTGGAAGGCAGGGGAGGTGGGCAAAGACCTCAGCAGACACCCACCCACAACAGCAGAGAGGGGGCACCTGGGCAGGTCAGAGGTGACCTTGGCTGGACAGCCTGGCGGCCAGAGGAGGTGCTGGGGCCTGGCGTGCCTCCCAGTGTGGGTATGGGCGGGAGGTGGGAGTACAGGGGGAAGGGCAGAGCAGGACGGATGAAGAGAGGCCCGGGAAAGTGAGGCCAGGTCCTGCCTGGGACGCCTGCCCTGTGTCCTCCCGTCCCCCTCCCCCTTCCCTCCTCCCTGGGGAATCCGCCCACACGGCTGTAGCCCAGTGGGGTCGCTGCTCATCCAAGCTAGGACCTGACAGACATCCAGAAACAAGTCTTTCCCCCGATGCCCAATCCTGGAGTCCTGGAAAAGCTGTTCCTGGATCTCTCTCATACTCTGCACTGCCCTCTTCACCCCCACCCCTTCCGCTCACCATCTCTTGGATGGCAGCGACCAGCCCCCAGCTGGCCCCAGCTCCAGCTGGGTTCCCTCCAGGGAGCCGTGAGCTCAGCAGCAGATGTGGCTCTGTGACCACCCAGCCTCATCTCCACCCTCCCCAGCTTCCTTAAGTGCCAGCCCGTCTGTGCTCCCTTCAGCCCCGCTCACCCCAGGGCCTTTGCACATGCTGTTCTCTCTGTCAGAAACATTCTTCCCCCCACCCCACCTGTCCAATGTTTACTCAACCTCCAGGTCTCACTCAGATGCCATCTCCTTTGGGAAGCTGTTCTCTAGGTCCCAGAGTGGGTGGGATGCTGCTAGTGTGGAGGTCCCCTGCAGAATGTCCCCAAGGATCCCCTGCTGTGCTTGCCTCATTCAGTCATAACTTCAGTGCCTAGCACAGTGCCAGGCACACAGTAGGTGCTCAGGAAATGGTAGTTGAATGAATGAGTGATTGGCTGAATGAATGAATGAATGAATGAGTAGGTTTGTCCTCTACTGGGACAGATGTCTGCCCAGTTGATCAGGGGCAGGGCACAAGTAGCCCTTCCTTGGCCAGTTGGCATGTGCATCTGTTTCCTGGTCTGAGTTTCAGAAACCCTTAGTAGGACCCCATAAAATTCAAGGAGGAACGCTCCAAATGGCCACTGAGCTTCCTGGGGAAGCTCTCAAAAATCAAAACCATCACCTCGCATAATTAAAAAAGAAAATCGAAACCAGCTTCTCTGCCAGGAGGTGAGGAGGGGCAGACACAGGGTAGAGGCAGCAGCTGGGAGCCAGCGTCTGGGGAGACGGCCGTGGGTGGTGGCCCAGCCTGTCACCAGGAAGTCTCTGATGCCAAGAACCCCGAGGGGGCTGCCTAGCAGGGCCCTTTCCGGGAAATCCTGGGTCATCTTCCAGGAAAGTGACCCAATCCTCTGCCTTCTGGGTTTTCCTTCCTGATCAGAGGGTTCTCTGGGCGCGTCCTTTCGTGGGGGAGGGGATGGCCGGTTTGCCGATTCTGTGGCACTTGCCGGGCGCAGGGGACGAGCAGTTAGGAGACCTGGGAGCGCCGGCCCCTTCACCCGCCTAATCCCACCCAGCTGCCTTACACCTGGTTTCTCCTCATTCCAAGAGTTTTGATTCTGGAACAGCCTGCCCCACAGGGAGCCCCGCCGCACCCCAAAGGAGAGGGGAGTCAGAGAAGTGAGTGGAGGGCTAGCCTGAGGGGCGGGCTGCCCTGGCCCCCGAGCCCCCGGCAACTGTGTCTGAGAATGGAAGTCATGAAACAAAGCAGGTGTGGCTGACAAGTGAGTCACAGAGGAAAATCAGCCAGGGAAGAAGGCGGGAAACGCCAGTCACAGCTGGTCACTGAGGCCCCCTGACCAGTGCCGTGTGCCCACTCCATGGAGGAAGTGTCACAGGAACCTGGCCACCAGCCAGGGCTTCTGGGCCACCCGCCCACGTCACCCCCATAGGTGCACTCGCCTGTCCTCCTTTCCATTCTCTAAGGGTGGTCTCCTGGGTCTGAGCCCCGGCTCTGCCGAGCACTAGCTATGTGACCTCTCTGTGTCTCAGTTTCCCCATCTGCGAAGTGGGGATAACAGTAGCTGCTTAAAGATTATGGTGAAGGTTAAAAACAGACAAAACAGAAAACCAAAAAACCACAAAACCACCCTCTGCTCAGAGCCCACAAGCACTTAGCAGAGCCCTAGAGAACAGCGGCTGCTCAATGCCCGGTCAGCCTTCATGGCGGCTCCTCCAGGACTGAAACATTAATTGAGGAAATAATGCGACAAGGGGGGTGGGGGAATAGGCACATGCAAATGTTATCAAAGCAACTTGCTTCGTTTCTCAAAATGACTACGAGATAATGTTTGGACCCTCGCACAAATGCCAGGCAGCTGTGGTAACCTGAGAGAGTCATTTCATCTCTCAGGGCCTCAGTTATCTCATCTATAAAATGGGAACATCATTGCACCTGCTGCAGGCTATAGTGAAATGCATGAGAAGCATGTTTCCAGGTGCCTAGGGCATGGGTAGTCTTCAAAACAGGATGGCAGCAAGCGCTGTGGCTCAGGACTATAATCCTAGCACTTTGGGAGGCTGAGAAGGGAGGATCGCTTGAGGCCAGGAGCTCAAGACAAGCCTGGGCAACATAGCAAGACCCTGTCTCTATAAAGAATAGAAAAAATTAGCCAGGCATGGTGGCATGCACCTGTAGTCCCAGCTACTCGGAAGGCTGAGGCAGGAGGATCGCTTGAGCCCAAGAGTTTGAGGTTGCTGTGAGCTATGATGAGGCCACTGCATTCCCGCCTGGGCAACAGAGTGAGACTGTGTCTTAAAACAAAAATAAAAAACCCGGGATGGCTATGCCATCTCTCTCCTGCTCCTTATAGTTGCTATTCCTTAGGGGACTGCTGCTGTCATCGTTGCTGTTATCTGGGCCAAGGAAAGAAGCCAGAGAGAGCAGCAGAAACACTACCCTGGGGAACTAGCCTGTTCCCTGGAAGGAAGAGGGACCATACCTTCTTTGCCCGGGGCAGCAGGAGCCTGGGTCATGCTGGCAGCAGCTGCAAGGAGCCTGGCAGACTTGGGGGCAGCGCGGGCTCCCGCACTGTCTTTAGAGAGGGGCCGGGTCGAGGCCGAGTGTCCTTACGTGGCCCAGCAGGCGCTGCTGGAAGCTCTGAACCCACAGGCCAGCGGATGCCGGCTTCGACCCGGCAGGTGTCAGCTGCTTCCACCCCGGAAACCAACGCCTCGTCAGCCCGACCACATCAGCCTTCTGGAGAAAAGGAAAACGAAACTTCTGTGTGAGGGTTTCGACAGAAACAAAATTGAAAGGAGAGTTGATGAGCAAGATGCCAAAGGAGGGGAACAGAGAGTCCTCTGAGGAAGTCTCGGGGCAGGGGCTTCCCTCACCCTCCCGGCTCCCGGCGCGGCCCACGCAGACCACGCCCCGAAGGCCCACACGTTCAGGCGGGTGGGCGCCCTGCTGGTGTTTCCGGGTGTATCAAAATAGTTCTGTTCAGTGAGCACCTACTCTCTGCTTTCCGAGCTGTGTGCTCCTCCAGTTCAGCGCAGGGTAGGGCTGCGGCTGTCCTCTTTCCTCGAGGGGAAACTGAGGCTAGAATGGCAAGGTTGCTTGTCCAGGGCCACACACAGAGTCAGTGGCAGAGCCAGTCCTGTTTCCCAACCGTGTTTCCTGATCTGTAACATCTGGAAGGCATGGGTGAGTCACCCTCAGCCACAGACCACATCGATTTCCAGCCTCACCGTAGAGCTTGCTTCGTAATTTCAGAGCCATAGATTAGAAGGCTGCTTCCTGCACGGACTTTGCAAAAACGCCCGAGGTGGGCAGCTGAGAACCGCTGCTGCTTTGTGGTTAGAAGTGTGAGCCAGGGGCCGGGATGCTTGAGTTCAAACCCAGCCCCCACCACTTACCAGCTGCGTGACCTTGGGCAAGTCACTTAACCTCTCGGTGCCTCAGTTTCCTCATGTGTAAAATGGGGTCAATCAAAGTATCTGGTTGTCGTCAGGACTAAAGTGCTGAGTCCAGCTGAGTCATCTGGCCAGAGCCTCCAGGGCCCCCAACCCCAAGCACAATGGAGCAGCCCTACATGCTTCTGGCGAAAGGAGCCATCCTTCTCCTAAATTCTCACACGGGCCAGTGACCCCCAACAGTTCAGAGCCACTGTTCTCTTCTTGATTACAGAGGGGAAACTGAGGCCCACAGAGCTGAATGGCTTTGTACCAGGCCATGGCCAAGGGGGTCGAGAACTCAGCCAGGAAGTCCTTGAACTTGGGGTCCAGAGCTCATGAGCTGTGTCCCAGGGGCAGAGGGCTGGGAGGGTTTGCAGATGTCCACGCTCCTCGGGGACCCCTTTGCCCCAGCACTTCTGCGTAGGTGGGGCTTAGGCACAGCAATGGCACCTCGAGCTTTGTCCCGAAGTTCTCTTTGCGGAGCAAGCTCTGGTTTCACGTTAGGGTTTTGGCCACGCCCAGACCCAGTGAGTCCGATCTCTGGGTGGCACTGGGAGGTCGGGATGTGTCGGGGTCCCAGATGATTCCTTAAGCTTCCACGTGCAGAGCCAGTAGTGGGGACAAGTCATAAAAACAGCAAACCTCATGAGGATGCCCTTATTCTAAAAGCAAAGAAGTGTTTATCTCCATGTGAAATAACAATATTACCCTGTAAGTGCAGGTCGCCGGGGGAATCAGGGAGATGACAGGGGTGCCCACCAGGAGGAGCTCCCCGAAAGCTGAGCCCCGCGCGCGGCTGGGGTGCCATGCTGGGGCTGGCCCTGGGACCTCGGGGGACTCCCGCGCCCACCCACGGGTGGGCTGCAGACAGGGAGGGCTCAGGGCTCCAAGACACGCCCAGCCCACCCGCGCCAACCCGTCCTCCTTCATCATCTTTCTTTTTTTTTTTTTTTCCACTCTTTCTGTCCTTGCATTGTTCCTTTTCTCATCTTCCCTGGAGGGAGGCAGATCCCAGCTGGTTCTCCAGCTGAACCTCCCGGTCAGCTCTCCGTCCTCATCCAGCCTGGCCTCTCAGTGTTGTCCTGCACACGGCCAGCCGCCCCCCGCCGGGGACCCCTTCTCCATCTAACTCCGCCCCTGCCCCAGCTCCTCCCCTTCCTCCCTGGTCTCAGCTGTGGGTCCCTGGCTGGCCCCCCCACGTGCTGCCAGCCTCTTAGTGTGGAGGCCCCAGGCCCAGGCCTTGCCCCAGTCCCTGGTGGTCTCGCAGGTCAGACTGAGGGACTTAGGCTTTGCTTCTAGAAAGACACTCGTGTTGCAGTGGTGAGGCCAGTGCCCCTGCACAGTGTTTGGATGACCCCTTCCAGTCCCCGTCCCCACATCCTGAAGACACAAGAAGCCCCCTGCACTGCCTCTAGTTGTTCCTAGGAGTCTGCAGTAGGAGCAACCGTGCCAGGGAAGCGCCCCGGGGAGGTTCCCTGGACAAGGGCTCTGTCTTGTCCTCTTCAAGCTGCGACCTGTTCATCCTCAGCTTTGTGTCTCTACCTCTCTGAGCCTCAGTTTCTTTATAAAACAGAGATAATAAATATGGAAAAGCATTTCTATCTGACACTTAGTACATGCTCACAGAATTTGCCTAGGTTAGAAAATGTGATGTGATGTGTCTCCACAATATAACTTTAGGTACTAGGAAAAAAACAAAAGGAACAAGAGAGAAAGAGAAAGAAAAAACAATTGAATATGGGCGGGCTCCCCTTCCGTTGCATTCGGTGGCGCATGTGGACGCGAAGCCAGGAATCCGCTGTGAGCATCTCGCCACAGCACGCAGGATTCTCGCTTTTAAAGATTTGCATTATCTTTATTCCTCCTCTTAGTTTAACAGATTTCTAAGCTACTTTTGACTGTAAGGATTGTCTTTAAGCCCAAATATCAGTGGCTTAAACAATACAGGCGTGCCATTCTTTCTCCTGTAGTAGTCTGGTAGGCAGTCCAGGTTTGGTGTGGCGACCCAGGCTCCTTCTACCTTGCTGCTCTGCCATCTGTGGCCTCTGTTCCTGGTTGGCTCATGTTTAGGATGGCCACTTGAGCTCCAGCCATCACATCTGCATTCCTTCCAGCAGGAAGTAGGGAAAGGAGGAAAGGCAGATATCCCCGCTTTAAGAATACATCTTGCGAGATGCACATGCGTTCTACCAACGTCCCATTGGTCAGAGCTTGGGCTCGTGGCCCTGCCTGCAAAGGAGGCTTGGAAAGGTGGTCTGTGTTATAGGACGTCATGTGCCCAGCTAAAATTGGGGCTCTCTTACTTCAAAATGGGGGACAGCAGATATTGGCAGAGATCTAGCTACCCCTGCCATTTTGAGGCTCTCTTCTCCCCCCAAGGAAGGAGCAAGGATCCCTCCTGAGCAAGGACCCCGCGGGCGCGCCCAGCCAGCAGAGCCAGTTTATTCAGCAGTGACCGTGCTGCGCCCCACGAGGCTGAGCTCAAAGGCAGTGTCTGCCTTCTCCGAGCCTCCGGCCAGCGCGGAAGGAGAGAGGGGAGAGAAGCGAGGCTTCGCCCGCCCGCCTGGGAAGGGGCTCAGAGCCGCAAGACTGCCAAGATGGCGCCCCTGCCTGCTCGGGCCCAGATCTCCTTTTGCCTTGGAAAGCACGCTCCTCTTGCATGGCTCGTGTTTTTCTGGAAACTATTAGAACTCTCCGCCCAAACCAGATGATAATTACATGTTACTGATCTCAAGTCTTTAAATTTTTCTCTCTCCCTTTTAAAAGAGAGATATTTTTACTGCACATTGTGTTGGCAAAACCCGAGTCTCCTTTCTAGCAGGCAGCCTGGATTTTATTTTCAGATTTCCTCTGTGAATTCGCCCCGGAGGGAGGAGGTGGAAAGCCACCCAGTGTGGATGATGATGCGTCTTTAGTCAGGGGCGCAGGTCAGAGAACCAGAGGTGGCTGGAGAGGGGCACGGGGACTGCCCGTGGTCACGCGAGTCATCGTTGGGGCCGAGGAATGGAGACAGGGCCAAGCTGGTGTGTCCCAGGCAGCGGGTTCTCCATCTCGGCCCCCAAAGGGGTCTTTCCTGCCCCGTTCTCTGCCCTTCAAGGCAGAGCTGGTGATGGGGCCTCCATTGTTCATACGTGTCTGCCGGAGTTAAACGGACCTGGGGTTCCGGTCCTGGCATCGCCCTTTTCAGCTCTGGGCTTGTGCAAATCACTGCTCTTTCTGAGCTTCGGTTTCTCTCTTTGACGAAGGGGGTCGTTGCAAAGGTTACATGAGGTCATGCCTCGAAGGGTCTCACAGAGCACTGAGCACGTGGCACGTGCTCCATGGACGGGAGCGAGGCGTAGTGCCATGATGGGGTCCTCCGCTGCCCTCTCTGCGGTAACAGTGCAGCCCTGTCTTTTCATCGGGCCATTTACCAAATAGTTTCGGGGCCTCTTTTTATCAGGCCACATGCCGGGCGCTGCGGGACGTGGGAGGTGGGTGTTCTCAGTTCTGGAGGCTGGGAGGTCCAAGAGCGTGGCGCCGGCATCTGGCGTGCTGTGCCGTCCTGCGGTGGAAGGGAGAGGAGGAAGACACGAGGGCAGGCGGGCACGCGAGACAGGGGGAGAAAGTGGGCCAAACTCCCGAAATAACCAGCTCGCTCCCGTGATGACGGCGTTCATCCGTGTGTGACCTAACCGCCCCTTAAAGGCCTCGTCTCTTAATACTGTCACGGTGGTAATTATCAATACATTTCGACATGGGTTTTGGAGGGGACGTCCAAACGATAGCGGTCGCCCCTGCTGGCTCCTGACTGCACCTCCCACCCTGGCTGCAGGAGAGGTCACACTGCCCAGGCCCGGGATGGATGGGGTGGCTCAGGCCAAGTCTCGGGGTGCCCACCACTGCCAGCAGCAGGGCATATGAGGTCAGGGAAGTGGGCAGGAGCCAGGGCATCAAGGGCCGAGGGAGAAACTTGAGATTTACCCAGGAGATAAAGAGGGTGCACGGGAAGATTTGCATCCGAGGCAAGTTGGGGATCTGGAGGGTGGCTCGGGCTGCTGGGAGAGCAGTTGGCAGGAGGTGGGCAAGGAGAGGGAAGCGCCGCTTGGGGGTCGTGGTGTCCGGGGCAGAGGACGTGGCGGGCACAGGCTGCTTTCACACCCTTCCTCCCCCACTCTCCAGTTCTTTTCAGAAAGCCCTTCCCCAGA